CGGCTCCCGGGCGGGGCTGCTACCCCTGGGGCTTGTGCTGGAAGCTGTTCGCTAGCAGGGAGTGCCCTTTGATGGCAGCTGTTTGGCGGGGTGAGGGCAGGCCTGGCACCCACAGCAGGCCGGTGATTCTTAATGGAGGCTGAGGCAGTGGTGTGTTTCCCTTGTTAGTACAAGTCTAAAAGGGGAGGTAGGAGGGAGAGAGAGAAGAGCTGCTGTGTGATTATCCCAGCTGTACATGCTTTTTCTGTGCACTAGAGCCTCAGATTCAGTTTCCTGGGTAGAGAATAGGTAATTCCCTTGTGCTGCTAGGAAGAAAACTAACCATCCCAGCAGAAAGGAGCACAGGCAGTTAAGGTCGATGGCTGAAAGCCAGAAGAAAAATAGTTTATTCCCAACATAATAGTTGGTTTGGAATTGTTCTAAATTCCTGTGTATTGCTGTTATTTCTGTACCTGTAATAACTATTTTGTTCTCCTGCTAGAGATTTATTACAGGTACAGAAATAACAGGGAAAGAGGCAGTTTATCCAAGTCAGTGTCTGCATTGTTTGTAGAATGCCTTTTGTTTGTATCTTAAAAAGAAAAGACCATTTGGCTTCTGCAAACCTAAATGTGTGAAGGGCAGCAGGCCCAGTTAATGCCTTTATGTTTTAGCACTTACTAGGGCTTAAATAAGGTCAGTGTGGAGAGAGGTGTCTCTGGTTTGTTAATAGCCTTAATTCTGTGAAGACAGATGCTAAGACTGAAGGCTTTGGAGACAGGTAACAGTGAACAGGAATAGAGATTGTAACAACATGTTTTCTCCTGTTCCTGCTGCTACGCCTTTACCATGAGTCACCTGTTCATCCAGGTTTATATGGGAACCACTGCATATACCCTAATAATTTTCTTGTTCTCTTAGTTACATTGTTGATCTCCTCTGCATATATTTTGTTGCAGGTGTTCTTGACTGTACTGTGCATAAAACAAGGCGAGAAAATGGCCTCTGCCTAGCGAAGCAGTCTAACACTAGTAGGAGTTACCAGTCTAACGCATTCATATGCGTACAGGAAAAAATAGGGGAGTGTTAAAACTAAAACCAAAACACCATCAAACCAAACAAAAAACCCCCAAAGTTGTTTTGATTTTTGGAGAGTTTGGATCTTTTGTAGAAGGCAGGTAGGGCTTGGCCAAATACAGGGGAAAAACACTGGGTGTGCACTCTGAGAATGTGAAGAGCTTATGACATACCAAAGTCACTGTTTTGGGGAGTAATAAGATCTAAGAGAGTACTGGGTGCCAAGCTCTGGTGCTCTGCCTTCAGGATATCTTGGCTTTTAGTGATGGGGAGCGTGCTAACTGGGGTGGGGTATTTGACACGATCTGTTGACTTTGTATTAACCTGAAACACAGTCTTGAGGGAGTAACATAAAACCAGGTCGATTTTTAGTTGGACAGAAAGATCCAAGAATTGTCATCAGCTGGTGACATTAGTAATCTAAGACGTGGTGACAGATGGAAAAGTATCGCTTTGGATTAGCGTGTTCTTTTCAGTCTTATTTAATTGGTGTTTGTTATCTGATTTTCATGTCCTTTTTTTTTATAGTAGGACCCTGCTCTGCTTTAGGCTAGCAGGTCTGAAACAGCAGTATCCTAGGGAAAGCACAAGTGTACTGAACGAGTTACGAGATATTGGTGGTATTCATTAGGTGTCACAGTATTTCATTCCTTTTGTGGGTTCTTGAGCTCCCTCAGGGCAGCGTCAGTCAGAAATAGGTAACGTTAGTGAAATGAGAAATCTGTTCCCGCTGAGATACACTGGGAGGTTTTTGTGCCTTGCAACTGCTGCCTCTTGCTTGTTCCTCTGTTTAGCTGTCCTCCGTTGTCACTTTGCGGTTTGTGAGGAGTAGTAGTTACGCAGCTTTGCCACTTCGTGGTGCCAGTTAGTCTAAGATTATTCTGAGAGACTAATTCTTAAAACTTGAGTCTGCTTTAAGCATCTTAAAAGAGCATTGCTCGCTTAACAGTTAACTGAAATACTTGTTAATATATAGAAAATGCTTCAGCTGCATCAGTTTTGAGTTTTGAGTTTTGAAAGGTAATTACAGGGTGTTTTTGACCCCTGTGAGACTGAATATTTACAGGTTTACGATGGTGAATAGCTCTGGAAATGAATATACACTCTACCTTTTGAACTGGTGTTCTGTAGGGACTTGTGAGCTTTGTGTATTAGGAGCATCATTCATCACTGAGTGGCCATGCTGTTTGAAAATAAGAGCTTATTAAATTTCAGTGTTATTTTAATCTCAGGTCTTTGCGCAGACTGTGGAGCTGAAGCTTTGTTTTGAAGTGCCCACTTGTGGTTGAACTGTTTGCATATAGGTCTAAGTGAATTCGCTTGAGTAAGAGTGCATTGAGTGTGCTTTTTGAAGTATTACGTTTCTCGAATGAGAGGATTAGATTTAAACCCAGCAGCATTTAAAATTTCCTTGGAATTCCATGACTTTGAATATACACTATTCTGAACCCACTTGTGTAAGTGCTTTTATATGATTATTCAAAGCTTAGCTTATAAAGATGTGGGAATTGTAACGTAGCAGCTTGCAAGTTAAATTTGACAAGGAGCCTATTAAACTGAATAAAAGGAATGAAATCCTAAGCAATTTGCCAGCTCACTTGCGTGTTTTTTTTTTTTTAATTACACATCATCTACTTCAGTATGTATTTATATACTCTGAAATGTGAACATTGAAGACACTTGAAAATATTTACCAGCTGAAAAATGCTTAAGTAGTGGTATGGATTAGATTTGATTGTGTGTGTATTGAGCATGCTATTTTGTAGGTGTCTGGAGTGATAGTTTAATTAGGTTGTGACTGTTCAGCCTGCTCTCATAATAACGCTGACTTCACTTGTCAAGGGCATATGCTCAGGAATACAGTTTGGATTCTGCAAATTACTTGCTTCAGTGGCCAGAATGGTAAGACCTTAGTTCATAAGAAATCAAATAAGTTATAATTGCATTTTAAATTTAGATCAGTCCAAGTTGTTATGCTTTCCTAAATGCTAACTATATTTTTTTTTTTTTGTTCCTTTACGATTTGGGAAGCTTTTGGATGAATGTAGCAGAAGAGGAAGAACATGGTGGGTTGTAATATAATGTTTCACAGAGCAGGCATAATCTAACTGGATAATTTTAATCTTGTTTCCCGTAGGATTTTATGGAAGGCCGTGGGTTATGGAGCAGAGGAAAGAACTTTTTAGAAGGCAAGTCATGCTTCCTCTTACTGCAGCACATTCCATGGCAATATCATCATAATCTTTCACTTAAGCCTGAAAAGAATTAGTGTTCTAACATAGAGCAGCTTTTTGCCTAATATCGATATTCTTGAGGGCTCGTGCTCACCTTTCAATCTTGCCTAAACCCAATTTGTCCAGTATCAGTTGTACATAAAGTTATTGTGACTCAACAGTATAAAGCAATGTTCGGTGAAGAAAAAATAAAATTAGATCAAGTAAAATATAAAATTCCCAAATTCATAGACTATTCTCCCAATTAAGGCTTTTTCTTCTGTGTTTATAGACTTCAGAAGTGGGGACTAAATACATACCTGTATGCTCCAAAGGATGACTATAAGCACAGGATGTTCTGGCGAGAAATGTACTCTGTGGAGGAAGCAGGTAATTGCCTTTATTTCCCCTCTGTATTTTTTCTGTAAATAGACTTCTGAATGCATTGGTCGTTACTACATATGCTTGTGCCTGTTTAATCACAGTAACCGTTTCCAAAGGTGAGTGGGGACCTGTTCTTAATACCCTGCAGATGTATTAGTGGAGCTTTCGTACAAGCACGGATTAACTTCTTTTAACTGTAACTCTACAGATGATTTCTAAAACTGCTTTTAAGACTTTGTCTTATGGGATTTACTTTTTTCCCAAGGAAAAGGTTACTCAGAATTATTCTGCTCTTGAACATCTGGGCCATATTTTGAAATGGAAATTATTTGCTTCAGAAAAGTAAAGAGACTGATGAGCAAATAGCATGCCCTTTTATGTGATTCATTAAGTGCTTCTCTCAATGAAAAGAGTACCAGTCAGAAAAGCAGTTTCTGACTGTTTAGTCAGAACTTAAAAGACCTGTTTAAGCTGGTGTGAGGCTTTTTTATACACCTCAGGCATTTATGGGATATACTGTGTTTTATTATTCTATAGGGATTATAATTTTCCCTGGGTGAGGGGAAGAAATGATAGTCGCTTGAAATGAAATAATCCTTCTTGGAGGTCACTTTGAATCACTGCAGAAATATAACCTAAAGAATACTGCAAGATAATTGCCAGTAACAACGATGACTGTTAAATATTCTAAAAATGATTCCCTTTATTCATTGTACGGAAGATGAAGTTTGTTTCTTAAAGCAACTACTTCTGCACAGTGATGTTAAAAAAAGCTCTTTCTTGTGCCCCGAGCTTCAGTCATATGAATAGTATCTGAATCAGTGTCACCTAGGGTGATGTTACTACACTGAATTGTCTCTTGGGATGTGTGACAAAAGTGGAAAAAGTGAGTAGTAATTCTAGAACTGCTGGTGTGCGTGTTGTAAAAACAGACTACATCCGCATCTGTCTCTCAGAGTTAAGATGAATAATTTTTTTTAATTGTGGAATCCCTCTGAAGTATTTCAATTTGATTTCCAGAGCAGCTGATGACTCTCATATCCGCTGCACGAGAACATGAAATAGAGTTCATCTATGCAATCTCGCCTGGACTTGACATCACTTTCTCCAACCCTAAAGAGGTATCCACATTGAAACGCAAGCTGGACCAGGTAAGTGCGACACGAGCTTACCACAGCTGCAGTGCTACTTCATTTGAAAACCTCAGTACCCTGCTCACTAGCTGCTTTAATGTTCTCAGCACCGGTGTTAGTTTGGATGTCCCTGAAGAGTTCCAATCGATGTGTTCGGGTTGTATCGCAGACTTGGACGGTGATCATCTAGATTTTAAAAAAGTAGTCTCACTGTGTATTGGATTCTGAAGGCTGTTCTTGGAGCTTGTCTTTAGAGTATTGTAGGGCCTTGAAGCCAAGATGCATTTGTAAAGCAAGGACTCTTATCCACAGCAAATGCCTTTGGAGGCAGAACTGACATGCACATCATCTTTGTTCTCATAATTCTGTCTTTCATCAAAAGCTATTGCAGCGTTAGCTGTTTTCAGTGCTCTGTCCAGTGACATCAGCTGTGGGTTGTTGAAACTGGAACAGATTGCAGGTCTTTAGAGATCTGGTCTTTGAGAAAAGCAGAGCAGTGGGTCAGAGAGAGACATTTGTTGTGAACAGACTACCAAGTCTGTCCTGCCTTCCCAACCTCCTCTTCCCTCTTCCTGTAGCTTTTCCTTTTAAAAATTCTACTGTTTGAGTTTAAAAAGAAGTAAAAATAATTTGAAAAATTAAACCTTTTGCTCTTGTCTCTTGTACTAGGTTTCCCAGTTCGGCTGCAGATCTTTTGCACTGCTGTTTGATGATATAGATCACAACATGTGTGCAGCAGACAAAGAAGTTTTCAGTTCCTTTGCTCATGCTCAAGTCTCCATCACAAATGAAATTTACCAATATTTAGGAGAACCAGACACATTCCTTTTCTGTCCTACAGGTAAAATCAGAGGGATCATTTAATTCTGCCTTAAAGCAGGGGCACTATTATCTTACTGATTGAAAAGCTGGCTTAACATTTAATCTCTGCTTTAAGGAATATTTTGGGATTGGTTGAAAAAAGTGACTTGTAACTGAATTCTATTCTGTTATATATGTAATTACCTATTACATGTAAGCGTTTTGCTAAATCTGCTCATCTCTGAAAGGCTTAATGCCAAGCAGAGAAGACAGCTTGATAGACTGGTTTAAGAAGTTTGAACCGAAAATGAGGTTAAAGGAAGACTTTCTGGGCTTGTACCAAAATCTTTTTGCTTCTTGATCTGTCTGGCTGTTAGTTTCTTAGAATCTTCTTAAAGCAGAGGGACAGCACAGTCTGTACTCACTTCTGTCACTGGTACTGTTTGTAATAAAGTCACCCACTCTGACCAGGCACTGAGTTGCTTTATGCAAGATTACTTGCACTCAGGCCCAATCACTGCTTTATTAACTTGCAAATTTCCTCTAATACCTGTAAGAATATTGTAAGGGAGGGAGAATTGCTGTCCAGTGGTGTGGCTTGTTGCAAGGAAAATTCAGCTCAGTAGCAATGTTACCATCATTGTTGATTTGTTTATCCTCATACACTGCAGTGGTCTGGTTCTGTTGCAGACCTCCTCTTTAATTTTAGAGAGACACATGTTCTGGTGTTAATATTTTAAGGTATTTGCACTTTGTCTGAGGGTTTCTAGTTCTCTTGCATACGGTCTGCTGTAATCTGCCCTTCTATTTATGGACTTTTTCCTAATTTTGGTATTTGAGCAATTTTAAATAAATTCTCTACCTTTCCTTTCTGACCTTTTAAGTATCATTCATACTGTCCTTTTTATTTGTACTCTAGACTTTTGGGCCTTTCTTGACTAGTTTTATATATGTTTCTCTTCTCAAACGGTAGTATTCTCAGTGTGTTTGTGGGACAGTTGTGTGTTGTCACATGTGCTTCCTTCTAAGTGACATTCTCTCTTCCCACGCAGAGTACTGTGGAACTTTCTGTTACCCAAATGTTGCCCAGTCGCCGTATTTACGGACTGTAGGAGAAAAGCTGCTCCCTGGCATTGAGGTGTTATGGACAGGTAAAAATTGTTTTGGGATTGGTTTTTTTGGTGCTGTGGGGGTTTTCTTGTTTGTTTTTAATTCACTGTTGGTGTTAAAAATAATTTACTAAATACTTAGGAGAAACCACACTGTCCAAATACTTGGGGAGTGAATCTTCAAATATATACAAAGCCCTCTGATTATCCTTTTTCCCCCTCTTAGGTCCAAAAGTTGTATCCAAAGACATTCCAGTAGAATCCATCGAAGAAGTTTCTAAGATCATCAGGAGAGCACCAGTTATCTGGGATAACATTCATGCTAATGATTATGATCAAAAGAGGCTTTTTCTTGGGCCTTACAAAGGTCGGTCAACTGAACTCATCCCACGACTGAAGGGAGTTCTGACCAATCCAAACTGTGAATTTGAAGCCAATTATGTTGCTATTCACACGCTTGCAACCTGGTACAAGTCTAACATGAATGGAGTGAGAAAAGATGTGGTGATGAGTAAGTATGTGTAACTCTTTGCTGGGATCTATCCTTAACCATATAAGTCATACTGATTTTTTTTATTTTTGTAATGATTCTAGCCTTTCCATACCACCTTTGTCTTTCTAAGATCACCTGGCATTTTCTATCCTATAAGTAAATGGCAGTTGTCTGGAAGGTAATGAGCATCTAGATGGTTTTACTGACTTCCTGAGAAGTATCTGTGGTACATGCTATCAGAGAATTTAAGTCTTGAGGGTTACCTGTGGTTGCATAAAAAGCACTCTCAGCAAGCAATTTTCATGCCCAAGTTTGACATAAGTGTCCACGGATTTGATTTCATTGGAAAAACAAAATCAACTGAAAATTGCATTCACAGTTCAGATCAAAAGAGAAACTCTGCCAGAATGTCTAGTATCTGCATACTGTGTGCGTTGACATGGATTGTGACCGTGGTTTTCCGTTCCATCTAATTAGGATGTCACGCTTTGTCCTTCTTTGTGAAGTACAGCAGCTGAGTGCCTTGCCTAATGTGGTTGTTTTTTTAAAATGAAACTTGCATGATAACTTTTAAACTTGTCTCTGTAGCTGATACTGAAGACAGTACAGTTTCTATCCAGATTAAATTGGAAAATGAGGGGAGCGATGAAGATATTGAAACAGATGTTCTCTACAGCCCTCAAATGGCCCTGAAGCTGGCCTTAACGGAATGGTTGCAGGAGTTTGGGGTACCTCAGCAATACAGCAGTGAGTTTGATTTGCTATTATTCTCGGCTTGGTAGAAAAATGCGGTTAGATGTTCGGTACTTGCATTTAGAGTAAAACTATTTTACAGGTCCTGGCAATTTGTATACTTTTCTGTTGGAAATATTTTCTGCCTTACTTAATTGAGGAAGAATTAATAAAGGAAGAATGCTTGGCATTCTGTAGCGTGCCTGTATTCCCCTGACTGATCAGCAGAAGCAACCTTGACGTATAATCCTTTGGCACTTATGATACAAGACAGGAAAGAGGGAATCTTGCTAGTCCCAGGTGTTACTAGGCTTCCATGGGACCCGAGAGAATAGTAGGGGTAGTCTAATGGGTGTTAGATTATTGCAAACATTACTTCTGCCCCAGAAGAGTCCATGTTCTTCCGATTGGTTTAAGATAGCTTTAGTTTTCTGAGTTTCTGCCTACAGAAACCAGCTGGGTTCCTTCCAGCACTGTACACCTTCCTTGTAGCAGTAGGAGCTTGGGATTAGAGGTAAAATCTGTTTTTCTCAAGTGTGGGTTTGAGGTTGTTGGCGTGACCCGCTCTGATAACTGGTGGTGGAATGGAAGAACCTCTCCTCATCCCAACTCCATTCTGGTGTGGTAGTCCCTTTGGATTGCTGTAGGGTTTCGGATCTTTGTAAAACTCAGCTGCAGCAAAAACATTGGTTGAGGAGTAGCAATTGAGTTGTCATCTTCCTCTGTTTTCACAGAGTAGTTTAGGTTGGAAGGGACCTCTTGAGATCTCCTAGTCCATCAGCCTTGCTCAAGCAGGGTTGAGTGTAGAGCAGGTTGCCCAAGACCACGTCCAGTCCGGTGTTGAATATCTCAGTTTTCCCTAGGTTAAAGGCATTTTTGCAATTGAAATATTTAATCATCAGTCTTTTTGTTTTGAAGCGTGCTCTATATTCAAGTAAAACTTCAGCAAGTCAGTTGATGCAGAAGGGAAAAAAAGTTAACTTTGAGAGCTTTGTATTCTGATGGCGTAGTGAGAAAGGCTGCTTGCAGCACATAAATATTAACTCATTTTCATAACTTTTCCCAGTCCTATCTTTGCTTCTCAGTTATGTGGGGGGTAAACATGTCAAAAGACAAAGTCTGTAACTATAATTACAATGACAAAAGTGAACAGAGTACCAGAAGGAAGCGGCTCTGATCAGATGCCATGGCAACAGGATCATCCATGATGTGCTGAAGTCGCAGATTTGAATGTTTAGTTGGCAGATACTGAAAACTCTAAACTTGTTTCTTTTTATTCTCAGGTAGGCAAGTGGCCCACAGTGGTGCTAAAACCACAGTAGGGGATGTAGGGCCTCTGGTGGCACCATCCTCTTTGAACGCAGCGACCGTGGTTACCACAGTTTACCAAGAACCCATCATGAGTCAGGGTGCGGCGCTGAGCAGCGAGGCACCAGTCTTGGTAAAGGAGGAGGAGAAGAAGCAGTCTGATGAGGAACCAATGGACATGGTGGTGGAAAAGCAAGACGACGCAGACAAGAATGCTAACCAGATACTGACAGACATTGCTGAAGCCAAGATGGCAGAGGAGTTGAAGCCGATGGATACCGATAAGGAGAGCATCGCTGAATCAAAGTCCCCTGAGATGTCTATGCAGGAAGACTGTGGTAGTGACATTGCCCCTATGCAGACTGACGAGCAGGTTAACAAAGAACAGTTTGTGCCTGGGCCAAATGAAAAGCCTCTCTACACAGTAGAACCAGTGACTTTAGAGGACTTGCAGCTTCTTGCTGACTTGTTTTACCTTCCTTATGAACATGGGCCCAAAGGTGCACAGATGCTGAGGGAATTCCAGTGGCTCAGAGCAAATAGCAGTGTTGTCAGTGTTAATTGCAAAGGAAAGGATGCTGAAAAAGTGAGTGTGAATCTTGTTTCTCTCTTTTTAAAATCCAAGTCCTGAGCAGTGTTGTCTGTAATAGAGTGGTGTTCCGTTTCCTAAAAGCTGAAGGGTAGTGTATAACCGACCGCAGGTCACAGCATAACTTTCATTTCTCCAGTGGAATCTACTGGTTAAAGCCTTGCAGTGCTGCCTAGCTGTGAAGGCTGCCTGGTGTCTGCATTTGACCAGTGGTCCTGTCCTGGCCTTGCTTCTAACAGCTGTAGAGAATACCTGAGTCATGTAGCATGGTAGTCCGTGCTGGTAAAACGAAGGCTGCGTTTGATCTTGTGGATCTTTTTTCCTCTCTTCATAGATAGAAGAATGGCGTAACCGAGCAGCCAAGTTTGAAGAGATGTGCAGTTTGGTGATGGGGATGTTCACCCGCCTCTCCAATTGCGCCAACAGGACAATCCTTTATGACATGTACTCCTACGTCTGGGATATCAAGAGTATTATGTCAATGGTGAAATCTTTTGTGCAGTGGTTAGGTAGGTGCATTGGGAGCCATTATAATCCCAGTTAGTGCATTTTATTTTGTTTTTAATTAGCCCACGAGGAAAACAAAGCATTAGGCAAATGTGTTTTCTTGGACACGGGGTCCTGTTTGATCCCGTTTTAAAGGTTTTCTTGTCTCACACCTTGAAGCAATGCTTGCTGTGAATTTGCTTTGGTATTGTAAGCAAAGTCTGCTGGATGCTTAAGATTGGAGACCTTGATTTTCTTCTTGGGCTAATGAAACTTGAATCTCAGCTGACACGTAAGTGTTGACTTTAACTTACTCTTGACTGAATGCACACTGGACTATGCCATAACTCCTTGGATACTCTGGGGTACGATTGATTGGAAACGGCACTACGAAATGTGACCTCCTCAGCCATCTGCTGCTTGCTCTGTCGTGATAATGTTGTTGCTGTCTTCAACAGAACAGTTGCAGAAGCGACCTTTCAGTGGGCCGGGCCAAGAGGAAGCCGATCCTCCCAGCCCTGTGCGCATGCGAGCTTTAGCGCAAGGCTATTCTGGTGCAAAATAACTTCCTTTCAACACTTTCCAAATTGTTGCGCTTTTTTTTTTAAACTTTATTTTTGGGTAATGGGTGGAAATTGTGGAGCTGTCTAGACAGATTTAGTCTGACACGTAACTCGCCTTGAAGCAGGTTTTTTTCCTTTTTTTTTTTAATGTGTGGCCTTTTTGTTTGTTTTGGTGGTTTGTTTTATTTTTTTTTCCCCCCCCCGAAAGATTTTTGGGGCATCCTCAGTTGGCAGATAGCACCAGCATGGCCTGGGTAATTCTAGTGACCTCATTTCACTTTCAGGTTTCAGTCAGCTGTAAGGAATATGCTGTGGAGTTGCTTGACATACACAGCAGGCAGCAAAGCTGATGGTATCACGTCACACTTTTGTAGCTGTCACAAACCTCGCAGTGGTTAACCATTACACAACCTTGGTCCTAGTCCTCGTGTTTGGATTGTCTTTAAACGATACTCTTCAACACTGGCAGGCTTAAGCAGGGACAGAGAAAATACATTAAATCATCAAGTCAGTCCGTGCTTGACGACTTCCTGTGCTTTGTGCTTATTAAATATATGATCCCTGTATGTATGGTTTTGGTGAAGAACAACTTCTAAGACTCCCTTCTGCAAAGTACAGAGGAGGAAACTAGCTTGGGAGGAAAACTTGGCAGCACTGTAGTATATTAACATCTCTGCCTAATGCTGTTTAAGAGCTTTAGGCTCTGCATTTTTAAGACCAGTGTGACACATCTCCCCCAGCTTTACTATTCTTGCTGTATGTTGAACTTCAGCTAGAAAGAACGCTCTCTTGTTGATAACTTAAACCTGTTTAAAACTCCAGGCCAAAGGTCTACAAAGAGAACAGTTATTCTTGTAATCTGTAATGAGTGAGGGCCCAACTTAAGACTGCATTTCAGAATTATCAGCCTACTTACTGATTTCAGCTGAAATTGTCTTCAGTTGTCAACATCCCTCTAAAGTTGGGTTCAGGTCATTTAAATGCATCGAATATGTGGAGTGGTTCACGTTGGAAGCCAACTCTGTACATACCAGCTCTGTTAACTTTGGCACTGTTCTGTTCCACTACTCAAACTGGTGTTAGATAGTTGAAAAATTAATTTTCAGAGTTGTTAACAGTTTAATACTCTTATGCTGACAGTGCTTCTGTGAGAGGGGATGCTTTTGTCTTCAGCTTGCATTTTATCACTAGTGTAAATTCATGTAGTGCAAAGGTCTTTGATAAAATACGTCGTTATATAAAGGGAAGTACTTTACAAATCCAAACAAATCAGTTTTCACAATGGTGTGCTCAATGGTCCACTGAATGTTCGCTTTCTTCACCTCTCCTCCCGAGTCCAGCTAGCATTCAGTCCCTTAAATTAGTGTGGCTGTACAGTACTATGGATTACTAATGACTTCTATTGTCTTCTTCCCCGTTGTGTACAGATGGGAGAATCCTCAGCACAAGTTTCTACTGCTATTGGATGGACAGCGCAAGATGTACACAGCGCGTCGTCATTAATTAATTAAAATGGAAAGGTTTTGTCTGTGAGGCAGCTCAGATAGATTAGCCGTGCAGTAGGCATGAACTGAAGTCACATTTGCGCAGCGACTAAGGCATTAACTATGTTTTTCATTTATACAGCTCTTCATTCACACAGCTCTTTACTGTAATAATTGGAAGTGCTAGTTAAGTTGTAGTCTCAAAGGACAGACAGATCCTGTCTTCCAAGTTATTGACTAAACCTCCTTGTGAAGGATGTCTTTTTATGTGAGAATTCCAAAACGTGGTCGCAAAGCATTCAAATTCTGATGCTTGGATTATTACTGAAATTTACCATGCTTAGGCTAGTTTGTATTCAACCTCTATTCCTAAAGTCTCATAAATGTCAAACTTGGCACACTTTGGGACTCTCTGACTAGCACAACATACTTGTCTGTACTGATCTGAGGCTGTTACTTGGAACAGGAGGTAGATTGCTGTCCACAAAAGGAAAAGAGTATTTGCGCTGCTCATCTTGTCAGAAAACTAGGCAGGTAATGGAAATCCCCAGATACCATGCTTTTGGTTTGTTTTCTTTTCCGGCGTTGCCGTTCACATTAGCTGTCGCAGGCTCTGGTGCCGTGCTGGCAGAACAGTAGTAGAAGTCAAACAGCTAATGGAAGTTTCTTGTGTAAAGCAAGCGTGAACTGGAGCTGAGCGCTTCGGTGGGCCTGCTGTGGCTGGCTGAGCAGCAGGGACCCCAGCACACATGATGCGCCTGAGGAGGAAGAAAATCAAGGCGCTGAGAGGCAACGCTGGTGTTATCTGTGGCTGATGTGGGGTACTAGTTAACCGGAATTAACTCACAACTTAACACTGCTTAGCTTTTTAACGTGCCAGCAGCGTTGTGAAGGTATGGCCTGGATTATGTCAATCTGCAAGAATATTAGTTCGTACGACTGTCCTGGCTGCCTGACTTGTTGCAGACTGTTTGCATATGTTGCCAGTCCTAGTTTTCTGACAAGATTAGAAACAATCATTACTAAAATGTGACTTCAGAAAGGTCCATTTTTTTTTTTAAGGGGCTGTGATAATGGCATTTGCATGATCTAAAACTTAATGATAGTAGCTATTGAGCCATGAAGCTTCCAAGATGTCATCTTTTCATGGATGAAATGGATGTTTCTGCCACAAATATACAAAAAAATAAAAATACGAAATGTCTGGGGAGCTTACAGAATTGTGCAAGGCACCATTCTCATGCCCTCTGGTCTGGTGTGTTCGCTGAATCACCTCGCCTGGTCTTAGACTAGTCTGTTCCAGGTAATCAAAGGTTTGGAATACCGCAGTTAGCGCGCAAGCACAAAATCTTTATAAATCGTACGTTATTACAGCCCCCGCTCCCCCCAAGCCCTGGATTCTAGCTCAGTTAGAGAGCTTTTTCCACAAGTGTGTGTTAGCTTTTTGGACATGTTAGACACCCAGGAAATCCCCCTTCTCGTAACGTTCTCCGCTTGGATCTGATCTCAACAGGGTGTCGTAGTCAATCTTCAGCACAGTTCTTAAGTGGAGACCAAGAACCCTGGGCCTTTAGAGGTGGTCTAGCAGGAGAGTTCCAGGTATCAATATGACTTCACAACTGAATGACATTTTCTTTGTTTTATGAGAAACCTTTTGTTGCACATCGGAGGTCTGGAAGGATTGGTCTGCCGAAGGCTTTCTGGTCCAAAGCCCATTAGCCTTACAGCTTGGTTTAAAATAATTTTCCTCCCCTTTCTACAGTAATTTCCCAAGGAGATGCTGCCTGTCCCACGCGCATGCGAAGCGCAGCGGCTTTAGTGGTACATTTCACATTGTTTCTTTGCAGGTCGCACAGCATTTTTACCTGCGCCCGCAATTGCACAATGCGCGCATGCTCGTCTGCCGATGGGAATTCCATGAGCAAAAGGGATACTCCTCCAAATTCTGGTTCCTCTCTCAATGAAGCTGTAATGTGCTTTGTTGCAAAGGCTTCAATTGGCGAATACTCTTGAGTGGCTGTTGATACCGTGGTCGGATTTGTTCATGGATTTTTCAGGCGCTGTACTTTTCCCCCCTCACAGGTGCTCTGCGCGCAGCAAATTGAATCAGCGCATTGCTTTTGGGATAAAGCGTCTCCTCTGGCCAGTTAACCCTCTTCAGACCAAACCTTTCCTCCTGACATTCTATGTTCTTATGCAGAGACAGTGTAGATATGATTGGTAAAAAGTATTTTAAAGCAGATAAGATTAACAGACTCATAGTGTGCTGTTTCAATTGCATATTTTAAAACACCAATTGGATATTTTCTATTCAAATAAGGTCTTTGCATTTGTAAAGCATACCAACCCCACCTTCACCTGGGGTGCCTGCAAGTAGCAAATGTTAATTTGGGAGTCTGCAGTGCACACCCAACAGTGATGGCTTTCCTCGATCATGCAGTCATATTAAATATTTTGTTTTCACAGCGTTTGCTGCCTATCGATGGGGCAAATGACCTCTTTTTTCAACCGCCTCCGTTAACGCCCACTTCCAAAGTGTACACCATACGACCCTACTTCCCTAAAGATGAGGTAACTGCTCTGACGCTTGTCACTCTCATTAGCGGGGTGTTGCCTTTTGTGGCAGCGGATTGCTGCCGACTGCCTTCGTCCCCAGACGGATTGGATGTCCCTGTGTCTTGCACAAGGCACAGAGGCAGTCTCACAGGAAAACCGCGGTTCAGTGACTTGCCTGTGGTTCAGCAACGTGCTGTGCAGCAGGACAGGTACACCCACACCTTGGTTCCCAGTCTCCTGCTCCCACCACCTTTTGAAATCCGTGAGTGCCTTTCCTGTTTCTGAAAGGCAAGTTAAAATTGTTCGCTGCTGGAAGAGGAATTTTTGCATTGGGAACATGTGCAGTGGCTTAACCTTAGGGGGGGTGTGGATGCCTGTTCACTCAGTAATTATTGGGGTAACTGCTGGTATTCTCAGGGCTGTATGGGCAGAGGACTCGGAGATAGTGTCTCTCAAAGTATAGTTGTAAATTATGTTATTTCAGCTACTCTTACTGGTTTAATTACAGTTGTAAACTTTTTGGTCTGGTTTCGAAAGGATTGTTGTCAAATCTGCTTTGGAGTGTTTGATACTTTGAAACTAAGGATTTTGTAGTAATCTTTATTGATTAGAGATAATCAAGATTACCTTTTTGATTATCCTCTGCTTTTTTTTATTTTTGTGGAACAGATTTTTAGTGTAACTCTCGCCAAGCTAACAGGAATAATACTTAAAGCTATGTATCAACCAACAGTTAACAATCTATGGATGCAGCTTAAACGATGCCAGGATTAATGCAGCTTGAACTCTGCATCTGTAGCCACCTTGAGATGAGACACGTTTCCTTTGAAACATCAGTATTTAGGTTAATTTTGCAGCAGTGGATCAGTGGATCCTGACTTTGAGGCCAGTCAGTGAGACAGGGCACGACCTTTACCTGCGAGTTTTAGGTGCTGTCCTGTGCTGTTCTCATGGGCATTAAAGCGGCCTTTTCCATACCTTAGTGCAGGACTGTACCTGAGCTGGTTTGTTCCTTCGTAGGCAATGGAATTGATATTTCTAAGCCACCTGAACAATTGGTGATGCAGCTGAACATGCAGTCACAAAGAGCATTTCTTCTGAGGAGTTGTTCCCTTTTTATGAAAGAAGGCCAGAGACGGGGCAAATGCAAAGCCTTCGTGTTGAAAAGTGTAAAGTTTCTTATTTAAAGTGTGCCTGATACAAGTTAACTCTTTGAAGAGATTCAGGTGGAATCTTACAACATGTGGAATGTCCTGCACAGGTTTGAATTGTACTTGGATGTTGGAGGTTTTGAAAAGGGACTGTGTACCAAGGGTATTGATCAGCAGGGAGAGTTCAGTAACTAGTCCCTAGGATTAATCTTGTGCCCTTAAAACATTTGAGAGTTGACACTCTGGCATTTCCTTCCCGGCTGTTGGGCAGGGAGGGTTGCAGATCCTTTCTCCTAGATGGGTGCTCCTGTTCTGTGTAACTTCAGTACTAGTTTGCAACGCTGCTGTTAATGAGTAGCGTGCTCTAAAACAAAGCTGCTAGCGTTTCAGTGTGACGGATGACTTGAAATCATCTCTTCTCTCCTCTTAGGCATCTGTCTATAAGATCTGCAGAGAAATGTATGCTGATGGAGCCGATCAACCCTTCCATAGCTTACCAGATCTAATTGGAGACAAGTATGTATTAGGAATGACTGACCTACAGAGGTGATTCTGAAGGACGGAGTCCTGGCACTGCATTTCATTTGCATATTACAAGTGTGTGTGGGGGAAGAATGCAAAGAGCATTTGATTTAAAAACAAAAAATAGGTATTTACCCTCTGCAGGCCTCAGGAAGTGGGGATTTTGGTTTCTTAAAGACACCGTTAAGAGTTACGTCTCAGTGTATGCTCTGGTCACCTGTTGTGAGGTGTTAGAAAAAAAAACTTAGCTGAAATCTCTGTGTTATGAAACCTGTGTGTCATAGTACCTATTATTTTGGGTTTTGTGAAAATGCAGCATGAGGCTGTTCATAGTCTGTAGCTACCCTCGGGTATTTTTTTCCAACTTGGTGTAGTTCTTCAAATAATTGAAATTTATTTGAGGACCGACCTCCCAGCTGACTGCTTTGAGTTTTTTCTGAAATACATGTGTTAGATTACCAATTTTTAAAAAGAATAAGCAATGATAAGTGAGATGAGGTTAAAAAAAAGGCATTAAATCTGAGCTGTGAAATGAGCTATGTTGAGCATGGGTTTTTTGTCTCAAGTGTTTGATTTAGAAAGAACTTTATAAAGAGGCTGCTCTGAGTGACAGGTAGTTAGGAAAGGATGTGTGCCTAGTATCAAAAAACAGCCAAGAGAAGATGGAAGAACAAGGAGAGTGTGGCAGCAGATGAAGGAAGTTTGTGTCTCTATTGAGTCAGAAGAACAGTGTATATAGAATTACATGGTGGGAGTGCAGATATTGCTCAAAGCTGAGTTTTGACAGCTGATCAGTCTGTTAATGCTTTGTAGGAACTAATTCCGTTCCTGGAGGGCTCTGTCGCTTCTTTGGATGACCCTAGAGTCTCCTCCGGGATACCTGAAGGGGCATACTTCTTCCAAGTGACCTGTTTTTGACTGAATTTGGATGCTTCTTTCTGCAGGTTAGTAGGAGGTCTGCTTACCCTCAGCCTGGATTACTGCTTCGTCTTAGAAGATGAAGATGGCATATGTGGCTATGCTTTGGGAACGGTTGATGTGACCCCTTTCATCAAAAAATGCAAGATGTCTTGGATCCCTTTCATGCAGGAAAAATACACTAAACCAAATAGTGACAAGGAGCTGTCTGAGGCAGAGGTTGGTATAACCCACGAGATTGGAACTGCACGCTGAACTCTTTCTTTCCAAAGCAGGTCTTTGTTTGTCTTTTGCGTTTTGAGCTTCCAATTCAGTTTTCATACCTTTGTGATGTATTTGAACCATGGTATCTGACACCTTTGAAGGTGACAGTAAAATCACTGGCTGCCAGTCAGATGCAGCTGTGTGGCGTAATACACCACGAGGTGGCCTTTAGTAGTAAGCAGGGCAATAAACGTAAGCCACGTTCATTTGAAGAAAATGACATTTGGAAAATTTGCTCTGTTCTCGTGCAAAATGAGATATTGGCTTCCCTGCGCTGCAGGTAAGGCAGTATCGGTTTAAGTATGGAAAACAAGTTAAAGAGCACTTGGTTTCGATGTTAAAATCTGAGCTGTTTGTGGAGGGTGACAGTTCTAAGTGGTGCAAAATAGAACATCTGTATCTCAAATTCATTTTTGGAAGAAATAAGGAAAACAATGTCACTGAACTGTCAGAAATAGGGCAAAGTTCTAGCTGATAGATTCTTGTCAGGGCAAGAAAAGTGTTTAATACTGAAAGGTGCTGATCCCCACCTACAAGTGGAAGGAGGGGTGGACAGAACTGTAGTAGAGGCAAGCCCAGAAGTCCTCTGGCTCGTGCAATACTGCTGTGAGCTGGTCTTGCAGCTGTGTCTAGGTTCCTGTCAGGGAAGTGTGTCTGGTACCTGCTTTTCCTGAGGCTGGCTATTATTAATCACAAGAGATGGATGTGTCATCTCTGTACCTGCTTCTTGGCCCCACCTGTACCCTACTCATTGATAACCTGTTTTACCTCTTGTAGCACTTCCGTGGTTGGAGAAACAGGTATCCCCTTTGCTCTGGAGCTGGAAGCCAGCCCGGCTAGCTTTGGACACTTTCTGTGGGATTGTGCCTGTCGCAGCTGTGGGAGAGCAGAGCCCAGAGGAGCAGGCGTGGTTCTGAACCTGCAGTACCTCAACAAGTTTGAAGTAGTAACTCTGGCAAGAGTTTGGGAGATGGCAGTTTGTAGATTTGAGGGGTTTGCATTTAAATCTCACCTGAAAAAAACGGGGTTGCTAAGGTTATGGTTCCTTGTGCAGTGAAGGCCTAGTTTGGGCTGTTATGACCATGGCTCTCAGTTACACAAGAAGTGAAGCTGGGTGGCTCGTTTACTTGAGCCAGTGCACCCTCAAGGTTGTGAAATTCAGGGGGAATGACTTGAGTGTGTTTCAGGTTTGACTGTGTTGACCTCTGCCTTACCTTGCTTGATCGTTCCATTCCTGTGAGCTGCGTGAAGTTAACCTCTGATGTTGCATTCCCAGGGACCTTTCACGGGGGCTGCAGTAGTCTTCAGTGCTCAGCAACATCCCGTAGTCACCGGAAGGGTTATGTCAAGCTGTGCTGGGTTCAGCCAGGAAAGAGTTAACTCTCTTTGCCCTGGCTGCTAGGAAGCTGTTCCTGGATACAGACAGCAGCACTGATAAGTTCTCAGCTGGCGCTGGGCAATGCCTGCTCTGAATTCAAGGTCTTTCTCTGCTTCTGACCCTGCAGCTGCGTTCCCAGCTCTCGCTGTCTGGCTACAGGCAGTGCTGGGACACACAGTTCAGGCACCTGACCCCAACTGACCAAGGGAGTATTTCACTCCATAGTACATCATGCTGGGGGCAGAGGCGAGGAGGGGGTCCAGGAGCCATTACTATCTCCCTTATTCTCCCTCGTTTACTCCCATACACTTGCTGACAGTCTCCCTGACTCCTGCATTAGCAGCTTCGCTAACTCCTGTGCTGGCTCATTCCTGAGGGAGTTGGTGGGTTTGTTTAGTTTTCCCGGTCATGCTCTCGCTGAGAGGGTTCGCTCGGAATCTGTTGTGGCTGCTCTCAGGCTGCGATCGCTCTCAGGCTCTCTGGGTCGGACTCCTACTACTCAGCACGTGTTGTGCACTGGTCAGTGGGTGGTGAGGAATTGTATCATATTGTATCATATGTTTAATTTCCTATTAATTACTTATTATTAGTAGCACTTGTATATATTCATTTAGATTTAATTAGTAAATAGTTCTTATCTCAATTTTACGAGCTTATTTATTTCTTTTTCCTCCAATTCATCCCCTCCACTGGAGGAGGGGAGGGGGATTTGTGAGAGCGGCTTTGTGGTATTTTGCTAGCCGGAGTTAAACCACGACACAAGCCAGAGACAAATCTGCCTTTGCTGGGACAGGGAGTCTGAGATAATTGCCTGGGCACGAGAGCTGTTTGCCAGCTGCTCCAGAGACTACACGTGGGAGGTTAGGACACGCGGAGCTAAAACTGCCTGCATAAAACGCAAAGAAAAGGAGCGTCCAGACGCAAACAGTTAGTTATGGGTTGGCTTATGGTTTCTCTCAGTGAGGATGGCTGAGGAGCCACGCAAGGAGTCTTGTGTTCCTCCTTGGCTGTCGCGGGATGCTGCTGTAGTGTGCCCTTTAATCTGGAGTACAGAGAGCAATTCAGCAGGTAAGGTGGTGTCATCAGAGGGGGGGATGCTGGTTGGAGGTATGCCCGGTGAGCAAGGCAGCCTCCCTTAATAAATGTGAACAAGAACGAACAGCTGGATAGCCATTAAATGTCTGCTTCCCCTATTCTTTCCAGAAAATCATGCTGAGCTTCCATGAAGAGCAAGAAGTGTTGCCAGAATCGTTTCTTGCCAACTTCCCATCGTTGATAAAGATTGATATTCACAAAAAAGTGACAGACCCAAGCGTGGCCAAAAGTATGATGGCCTGCCTGCTTTCTTCTCTAAAGGCTAATGGTGAGCTGCTTGCGCTCGGAATTCCTTGTTCCTGATCATGTGTTGGTTCTAAGATGCAAGGCAAACTTGGGGTGCTTCTATTATCGTTCCCGTGTTTGCGTGTCAGCCCGAGATACTCGACTCCTGCCGTAGCTGGCACCCTAGGTTTAGGTAAATGATTCTAAAAGCTTTTGGACAGCTAACTTCTGCTGGATGTCAGGAAAAGGTTGCTGTTTGCTTGAGCCATTACCCTGCAAACGAGAAAATAGGAAGAACCGAGGGAGCAGTTTGGCAAGGAAAGCACACGCTTTTACATCTCGAACAACGCACAAGTGTTTCTGTTTCCCCTGCTGGCGTTGGTCACGATGCTTTTCCTTACACGTGGCAGCGTGCACCGGTGGGTAGTTACCAAAGCCTTCGATACGGGCAAGTACTTGGCTGCCCGCCTTACTGCACGCCTGAGCTTCGCCGTTCCTTTGTGCCATTTGGTGCCCGCTTCTAGGGCCGTTTTCTGAGCCAACAGGAGAGTTTCGGGATGCTTTTACGTGAAATAAAAGGTGTGCGGAGGGGCGGTGGTTTGTTCAGGCTGACGGGACGTCCGCAACGTGCAGCCCCTTTAGGGGGATGGTCAGCTATGTTGCTATAAATCTGCTCTCTTTTGGGCACTACGCTCCGTATGGGATTGGATCGGTGGTTTCACTGGCTTTAAATGTTCAAATAGGTGGGAACTCTAGTAGTATCTGATGTCTGTGCTCTTCACAATAACGCTTCTCCTATGCTGTTTTGTTCCTCGTTTCCTTCCTCAGGCTCACGTGGGGCTTTTTGTGAAGTGAGACCAGATGATAAAAGAATCCTGGAATTTTACAGCAAGCTGGGTTGTTTTGAAATTGCTAAAATGGAAGGATTTCCAAAGGATGTTGTTATCCTTGGAAGAAGCCTGTGAAGTGCTTGACAGTGACCTGTTCCAGTACTGTAGTCCCTTAACAGCCGGGCAGGTAGTGGTGGGGATCTTCATATGGTCTAGCTGCACAAAGCCAGCAACAAGCCAGCTTGGTAGAAGGGGCTATGCGAAAATCACCCATCACACATCCAGACTGTCATTTCTTGGAAGAGGATAATGCTGCTGAAAACACTGTTTGTAAGAGAAATCTTGTCCTCTCCTGGTCCTGTGTGAAGTGCCAAGGATTCATGCATGGGCTCTAGCTTCCCGGAGGAATCCCTCTCAATCGGTGCTGCGGTTGACGGCGGCTCTCTGCACTCGGGTGTCCGGAGAGAAGCGGTCTCTGTCGGAAGCGTCTGTAAAGAGGCAGGGAGAGCAGGATGCGCAGCTGCGAGTCGCAGAATTGGGAGGGATTGCTTGTGTCAATCAGCAAATTTAAAGATAAGTAGCCACAGTTCTATTTTTGACTATCTTTATGCTTGTTGAGAAAGCAGTGACCCGTTGTCACTTCTAACGACCATTGGTTCAAGCTTTGTGCTTCGGTAGGGACGAGTGTGCGGTGGTGTGAGTCACCGAACGACAAGCGTGTACATTTCGGTGTATATAAACTTACCCCTTACTCTGACTCCTTGTTTACCCGTTTTTGTAACTCTCTTTCTTTCGAAAAGCGAAGTGGTCTAGGTCCAAGATGGCACTTTCGACTAACCTAAAACCACGATGGAGAACGAATCTGTCCTCAGCACTGACCTTCCTTATTGTGCCTCATAGCCAGGGCTAGAAGCTGACCATCTTGGGTGAGGGGTGCCCGTCCCAAACGAGCCTTCCCTCGGGCGACACTCGGTCGCTGCTTGGGGTTATCGTCCTTCTGGGACCGAAACAGCGATGCGCGGGGTTGGCCTGCCGAACCCCTCCATTTCGGTAGCGTTCGCACGGGGCTGTGGATGGAAGACGCTGAGAGCTGGCCCACAGCTGGGGTTTGTCCCTGGAACGGTCGCCGTGTTTCAAAGCCTGTTCGTACCAGTTTGATGAAATCAGGGTCTTTGAGTCCTGCACATTTGTATCAAATAACTTTTCTATAAGAGATGCCACAATAAGCACATTTTTACACATTATTTAAATGGTTACCTACTTTTAGATGTTCCAGAAGGTTTGTGTTTTTACCCAGGTCTGACATTTGGCTGTGGTATGGGAGCCGGTAGCGAGGCAGTCGCACCATTTCCGAAATTGGTATTTCACGCAAGTCCCGGTGCCCCAGATCTGTAGTTGGCCAACGGTATATACACCTTCCAGGACCTTGCTGCTTTCACCTGCTGCCATCCGCTTTTTAATTCCTTCGTTTTCCTGGGGTGTTTTCTTGGTGCGCCAAGGCAGTTCCGTTCCTTTCACGAGCCTCCAGCTCCACCCCGGTTGGGCGACCCGTAACGAACAGCGCAGGAACGTCTGCGACCTGCCAGGGAGGTGCCGTGTTTGTCCTTCGCTGTGGTCACGTGTGGGAACGAGGGGTGGGTGGTTCTTTTGTTTTTGTTTTTCCTTTGCAGAATGTGAACAGTTTTTTTTAATGCGGTAGCAAAGTATTTAAGTTGAAACAAGTTCATTTCAGTTTTGGAGAGAGGTACGGGGTTGTGCTATGGGATTTCATGTAAGTCAGAGCTGAACGCCACTAGTTTTACGCAGCTTTGAGTGCATGTTGAGTAGCCGATACCTTGGTTTATCAGGTGGGAGAGTGTTGTTTCTTCATGGTTACCAGTCAGCTTATTTTATCTGGATGCGTAACACTGCAGCATAGGATGCTTGTGGCCTTATTTCTTGGCTTTTAAGGAGTTGCCACATTTTTTTTTTTTCTTCCTATGACTTTGTTGTTATTATAGGAGTTAATTGTATAAGCCTATGGAATGTCAGGCCAATACCATCGTTCTAGGATTGTAAAGTGATACGTTGACATATCTTTCATGGTTATGAATTTTCATTAAGGTTGGAATGCCACTTTCATTAATCTGTTTTTAGATCAACAGTATCTGTAGCAAAAAAAAAAAAAAGACCTGTAAAACTGTATTTGAAGACCATGCGAGAAATAGAATAAAAACTGCGAAGTGGATGTAAGACAGCCGTGTATTTTGTGCACGGCGCTCCCTCACCGTGCCCTGGGTGTTGGCTGCCCTCGGGATCGGCGGGCAGAGAACCTTCTCTCCGGTAAGCGGCGGGGTGAGCGCCTCCCTCTCCCCGGG